GGGGGGGGTCTCTCCAGCCACAGAGAGCCCAGCACACGGATTCTGTGACAACGCCCCCATTCTCAGAGGCCCATAGAGCCTGCAGGGGGAACCCCAGTGTCAGCACCCCCCCCACCCCAGACAGCACCTCTGTCTCTCCGGGATCCTCTCCAAGCCAAATTCAGCACAAGGGTGGGAAGGGGTTGGTCAGAGAGGAAGCAGAGTGGACAGCTGAAAGGGAGAGCGATCCACATGAAGACGCCACAGGCAAAGACAGCCCTGCTCGGCAGCCTCACCACCCCCTCCCTGGTTTCCTGGGTTCCGCCGCTCTCCTGCCGCCGCCCATGTTCCTGCAGGGACCCAGCACCCTTGCAATCCTGGGGCATTTACAAGGTGTTGGTCCTGAGCGATGCCCACCGTCCTGGCCAGCCTCTCACAGGAGGCAGAAATTGTGTCCACCCCTTTAATCTTCCCAGCATGTAGGCGTGTGCCCATTTCCCGGATGAGAGTGTAAGGTTGAGGGAGGAGAAACAGATTAGTATCCTAGAACTGCTGACACAAGTTAGCACAAACCGGTGGCTTAGAGAGCCAGAAATGCATCTTCTCAGGTTCCAGAGGCCAGGCACCTGGTTCCTGGCAATCCTTGGGCGTCCTCGGCTTGCAGCCACGTGGACGACCCCATCTCTGCCCCCGTGTCACACAGCAGACACCCTTGTGGCTCTGTATGTCTGCCCTTGGGTGGACAGTCATCGGCACGTGGGCCGTTCCTCTGGTGAAACCTCATCTGAACCCAGTACACCTGCAGCAACTCAGCTTCCAAGCTCTGGGGTTACAGCTTCAGCGCATCTTTCTTGGGGACAAGATCCAGCCCATGACAGGAAGTGACTCACCAAGCTGACAAAGGGGAGCGCTCAGAAACCCAGGCCTGGCTGTGAATCACAGCCTCGTGGCTTCCTTTTCATCTTGACGACGCTGATGTCAGCTTCCCCCACACGTCACTGCAGGGCTGGCGCGGCAGGTGCCACGGTCCTGACGCGGGACGCCACCAGCACCATGCGCAGTGTGGCAGTTCTCGGATGAACCCCCCTCCCATTCCGCTGCTGCCTGCTGCCTGGCAGAGGCCGGGGGTCAGGGAGTGTGGGCTGGGCCCTAGTAGGCCTCTCAGCACCCCTTGGCCACAGAGGGTCTGAAGGAGGGGAAAGGGGACTCCCCAAGCACAGCCCTGGGGCCGCTGCCCCTGGGGCCACAGCCCAGCCCCTGTCCTCCTCTGAACCCAAGAGTGGACCACAGGGCGAGGCTGACGCTCCGGTAGCCACAGGAGCCCGGTGACAGCCCGCCTGCCCAGGCTTCCTGGAGACACTCTCCTCGTGGGACAGGAGGGCTGGGCGGGCCAGGGAGTCATGTCTGCCCCAGAGAGAGGGAGGGAGGAGAGGAGAACTTCGGGGCTGCAGACATCATGCAGCACCCTGGGTCCCTTCCACCTCCCTCCTGCACCCTGGACACCCCCCAAAAAAGAAACAGCTGAGAGGGAAGAAACAGGGCCTGCAGGAGACCACACTTGTCTGAGCTGCGCTCCTTCCCCAAGAATACCCAAGTGTCTGGGACCCACAGTGTGAAGTGCTGCGGGCCACCTCCCACAAGCACCTCAGAAATGCTGATGCTTTCCGGCTGGGAAGTGGCACATGTTTGTAATCCCCCTGCTTTGGAAGGCTGAGGCAGGAGGATCACAAGTTTGAGTCTAGCCTACCCAATTTGTTTGTTTGTTTGTTTGTTTTTGAGACAGAGACTCACTATGTAATGTAGGCTGGCCTTGAATTTGCTTACGTAGCCCAGACTAACCTCAACCTCAGGGCAGTCTTCCTGCCTCAGCCTCCCGGTGCTGGGATTACAGGCATGCACCACCACACCCAGCGAGCCTACCCAATTTAGCAATTTATTAAGACAAAACATAAAAAGTATAAAAAGGGCTTGGGATGTAGCTCAGTACAGAGGTCTGAGTGGAGCCACAGTGGCGGGGAGGGGGGAGAAGGAAGGAGGGAATGAAAAACAAAAGGAAAGAAAAAAGAGAGAAATAAATTTCTCTTTCCCTTAGCCCCAGGCCAAGCAGGTGGAGGGCAGCCCCAGGCCCACACAGTGTAGACTGCGGGGCCTGAGAGAGAGGGCGGCCTAACAGGCCCTGGGCTTCGGCTGGCCCCATCGTCCCCTCCTAGAAAAGGAGCCAGCGGGGAGGCAGGCGGAGGCTGAAGCTCCGTGGACAGGAGCCAGCAGCGGCGGGCAGGGGCCGGGTCATCCTCGCTGCTCTCACGGGAGTGGTGCTTGTGGGAGCCACGACAGCCCGGACGAGACAGACAGGCCCTGCTTTCTTCGGCCAACAGCAAATGACCGAACTCACAGCCACGGGTGGCTCAGGCTGGCCTGGGCTCTCAGGTCCGCAAGAGAGAAGTACAATACCTTCACCTTTCTTCTCTCAGGCAGTTTCCCACCCGGGGGTGGGGGGGCACTCCTCTCTACAGGAGGGGCTGTCCCCCTCCGCCACATCCGCCCAGACTCAGCCCCTTCTCGACCCCCCTGGGACTGCCCCTCTGGGCAATGCCACCCAGACCCTGTCTCCAGCTGGAGCCCAAGCTCTTCTCGCCCCAGCTCCACTGCACTTTGGAGGCTGGGGCTGGGGGTGGCGGGGGGTGGGGTCTCCCCTCTACTCTGGGTTCTGCTTCCGTTGGGGTAAGGAGAAGGGAAGGGACACTGGGCTCCTGACAGGCCTCAGCCAGGGTGTCCCAGGGTCACCATGGTCGCCCTCTGGCTGCTCCGGGCCCCAGGGACAGGTGCTCAGCATGACCCTGCACGGGGCTTGGGGCTCCGCTGTCACTCGCTTGACACTCTTAGGCGGTGAGTAGGACCCCTGAGTTGTATTTTGCACCGGGATCCCTGCGCGTTATGCAGCTGGCCCTGCATGCAGCCGTCTGTCATAGCAACGGGCAGCTGGTGGCGTCAGACCACACTGCACTGTGCCCCATACTTCCCGGGTCCCCAGGAGCTTGAACCCACTGGAGTGCCCGGCTGGTCATGGAGCCCTTCAGCTGAGCTGACCTCCAGTGAGGCACCGAGAGGATGCCCTCCCTCCCGCCAGCGCACCCTCGCTTCCTCCTGGCACCTGGCCTCTGGGGCTGGCCGGGAGGTGACGAAGATATGCTGCCCCGGGGCCCCTCCCCCTGTCTTCTTCGCTGTTCGCTTGGGGAGGTGGGGATCGCCTGGGTTCTGACAGGTTCATCCAGCCCTTCCCCGGGGAGAGGTCTGAGACCCACTGTTGTGCTGACTGACCTAACGGGGAGGGGACAGAGTCCTTTATAACAGACAAGAACCTCACTCAGGCCCAGCACCATGTAATTACACACCTGTAATACCAGCACTCAGGAGGCTGGGGCAGGAGGATCACTGTGTGCTCAAGGCCTGCCTGGAATACACTATAAGACCCTGTCTCAAAAAAAAAAAAAAAAAAAAAAAAAAGAAAGGAAGGGCCTCAGTCTTTCTTCAGCAGTGGCTGGGTTCTCTCCCTGAGCCGGGACACAGGGCCAGGAAATAGAGGCAGCAGCTCATGCCCCCACTGCTGTTCCAGCCCCCCAGCCTGGGGCACGCGGAGGAGGAGGCAGGGCCTGGGGTCTGTGCTAGCCCACTGTCCTGGCCCGTGTGGCTTTGGGGAGACCCAAGCATCTGAGAGACCACGGAGTTGCAGAGGCCTCGCAGGCTGGGTGGAGCTCACACTCTCTCTGCCAGGATCCGAGATCCCAGCTGAAGCACAGCCCTGTGAGAGAGGCAGGTGCCCTTCCAGCCAAGTCAGCTCCTGCAGCGTGAGAGGCACTCACAGCGAGTCGCACACGGACGGGGTTTTCCCAGCACCTCCGAGTCAGAGGGCTTTGTCTATAGAAAGCGCAGGGGCAACTGCGGAGGGGACGCTGTGCGGGGAAATGGTGCCCAGCAGGCCCCCTGGGAGCAGAGCACCCGCTGGTTCCGAGCTTCAGCGCTCTCACCCAAGAGCTGGGCCCACAGCGTGCACTGGGGCGCCAGGGTATTTCTTTGGCCCCTGGGCTTTCTGTACAACAGAAGGACACCACCCTGCCCCAGGTGGCAGCTCGGTCCCCAACCTGCCCACTTGTGGCCCTCCCTGAAGCCTCCTGCCCGCCAGATCAGGGTCACAGCCATTGAGAACAACGCGGGACGGGCTGAGCGGCAGTGACAGGGCTCTGTGGGGCCCCGTTCTCCCCAAACTGGGCCACTGTGGGCCTTTCATCTCCGGCCTCCCTCTCCGGGCCACTCCTTTGCTCCAGCGCCTGCCTTTGCTCTTCCTGCCCCTCCAGCCCCAGCGCGGCAATTACGGCGCTAATTAGGAGGCTTTGATCATCTTTAGAAATGGCCACATTGGGCAGGGACGCTGCCAAGCAATTAGGGCCCGCGGGGCTGGGAGCTCAGGGCCTTCTCCGGGGGCTGGGGCTGCCCAGGACCCCCGGACACCCCCTGCTCTCCTCCCTCCTAGAGTGTCTGCCCCCCACATAGCTGCAGACTCCTCGGGGAACACAGACAGATGGGGATCCCCGCAGCCCCTGCACCAGCCCCCCTCTGCCTGGCCCCCAGCCCAACCGTCAGCTCCTCTTCCCTGTCCAGGCCTCTTTGATGGAGCCGCAGGAACAAGGGCTCCTTTGACACAAGGGGGGCTCAGAGCGGGGCTATGGGACTTCAAAGGTGAGGGTCGAGCCCACTACCTCATTCCCTACCCCAACCCCAACCCTGGCCCCTTCCTGTGCACCCCCCCTCTGTCCTCTATATAGCCCCTGCCACCGGGTTCCCTCAGGGCGCCTAGCGGGCAAGGGCCAGGTGAGCTGCAGCCCGGGGAGCGGGGAGTTTGGAGGTAGGAAAACAGGGTCAGATGATTTGAGGGACAACAATTCCATGCCCAGGGGCAGAAGAGCAGCAAAGAGGGTAAGCACAGCCAGCGTGGCCCCGGAGAGGAGGCGGGCCTCCTCATCGCCATGCTGCTGGCTGCGCTGCTACTATGGCTGCTCCAGTGCCCCCTGGAGCCCTGGTCTGCCCACGCGCACCCCCTGTACACGCGCCTCCCCCCCAGCACCCTGCAAGGTGAGCCAGGCTGGTCTGAGGCGGGAGGGGCTCATGGGAGGAAGGGTGGGGAAAGGAGAGGAGCTTGTCACTCCCCGACCTGTGGCCCTCTCTGCCCACCTGCTGGGTGAAGGGGCCAGGAGCTTGGTACAGGAAGAAGAGGGGCAGCTGCGGGCGTGGGAAGTACAGCTGTCAGCCCTGCTGAGGGCTGTTAGAGAAGGCCAGAGCGACGGGGAGGCGAGGGCCGTGCGAGGCAGGGTTCGGCTGCTCACAGGTGGGCCCCTCGTGCAGTCACCTGTGCCAGCAGGCTTGGACTCTGGCACGTCCAGATCTTGGAGCAATGTTTTCCTTCCAAAGTGCTGTGTTTTTGTTTTGTTTGCAGTACTGAGTCTAGGGCCTTCACCTAAACTCTATCCTTAGCACTCTTTGTATCTTTTTATTTTGAAACAGGGTTTTGCTAAGTTGCTAAACTGTCTAGGCTGGGATGAAATTTGAGATCCTCCTGCTCCAGCCTCCCAGACTGCTGGGATTACAGATATACACCTGCCACACCTGGCTTCCTTCTGATTTTTAAGGAAAAGAGCTCTGCAGAGATTCTGAATCTGGAATCGTCTGCTCTGGGGGTTGGGCCTAGGGTCCTGGGGTGCTGGGACCCCAGCCTCCTTCCCCAGGGCCTCCACAGCAGGACTTGGAGCTGGACCAGGAGGCTGGGCTGAAGCTCTTGCCAACCTTACATGCTTTGTGCCCATGTCCCAGCAGTTCTGTCGGCCCAGGGGACGCAGGCCTTGCAGGCTGCCCAGAGGAGCGCCCAGCGGGCGGTGAAGCGGGTGGCCACGGAGCTCCAGCTCAAACTGCATGAGTGTCGAGGTCCGGACTGGCGCCCTGCCCCGCCAGCGCCTCCCCCTCCCGCCCCTGCATCCTTTGCCAGTCCATGGGTCCCGGGCCCTCAGACTCCACACCCCTCGGGACACAGATGGGAGGGGCCTGCCGCGGTGAAGGGGGGGCGGGCAGCCTGGCCCCCACAGTGAACCCCTGTGCAGGGGGCAGGGTACAGGGGAGAGGGGAGAAGGTGGCAGTGACACTCGAAGCGCTGTTTCTCAGCAGGACCTGGACACCCCAGGCCCCAAGCCCCCCTCCTCCAGGACCCACCTGAGCCAGGTGAGGCGAAAAAGGGGGGGGCGGGGCAGGTGGGCCTGGACGTGGCTAGGACTTGTCCCTCAGCGCCGTCTCTGCCGCTTCAGGGCCTTGCGGCGAAAGGCGGCCGGCAGCTGCCAACGTGACCCGGGCTCACGGCCGCATCGTCGGGGGCAGCGCGGCTCCGCCCGGGGCTTGGCCCTGGCTGGTGCGGCTGCAGCTCGGCGGGCAGCCTCTGTGCGGCGGCGTCCTGGTGGCGGCCTCCTGGGTGCTGACGGCGGCGCACTGCTTCGCCGGGTACGTCGAGTCCCGGGGCGCCTGCCCGCCCGCGTCCCCAATGCAGCAGCCTGCGACGCGCCGAGGAGCCGGTCTCTGCTGCCCCCTGGCGGAAGCCGGGCCCGGCCTCCAGGCACGCGCGCTCCGGCGGCGGGGGGGGACCCCAGGGCCAGGGCGGAGACACGGGCTCGCTCGGGGTGTGGGTGCGCGCCCCGAGGAACCCGGCCCCGGGCGCACTGTTGTGCCCCGGTCCTCCTGCCCATCACTGGCCGCTCGCCCCACAGCGCCTCAAATGAGCTCCTGTGGACCGTGGTGCTGGCCGAGGGGCCCCGGGGGGAGCCGGCGGAGGAGGTGCCGGTGAACCGCATCCTGTCCCACCCCAAGGTGAGGGGCAGGCCCAGGTCCGCAGAGCTGGGGCCAGCACCCCGAACCCCAGCCCCTGACCTTGCTCTCTCCCCGCCCCAGTTTGACCCGCAGACTTTCCACAGTGACCTGGCCCTCGTGCAGCTGTGGACGCCCGTGAGCCCGGCGGGGCCCGCGCGCCCCGTGTGCCTGCCCCAGGCGTCCCCGGAGCCCCCTGCCGGCACTCCCTGCGCCATCGCAGGCTGGGGGGCCCTCTTCGAAGGTACTGGGGGGCTCGGGTGAGCTGGGGAAGAATGGGGCCTGAGGTGGTAGAGTTTGGGAAGGCTGACGTGGAAGGACCAGCGGAAGACGCGGTCAGATCTTACAAACGGGCAGGGCCGCGGAAGAGGATCCCGAAGGTGGACGCCCCCCAAACCCAGCCCCTGCTCTTCCCTGCAGACGGGCCTGAGGCTGAGGCAGTGAGGGAGGCCCGCGTCCCGCTGCTCAGCCCTGACACTTGCCAAAGGGCGCTGGGGCCCGGGCTGCGCCCCAGCTCCATGCTCTGCGCAGGTTACCTGGCGGGTGGCATCGACTCGTGCCAGGTAGGGGCGCAGACCGGCCGCGGGGAGCTGTGGGGCGCCTCTCCTCCTGGGCCCGACCGTCTTTCAGTTTGTCTGAGCTACTGTGTCCTCCCGGCTAACTTGGGGACACGTGGCGACCACGAAAAGAGCTGAGAGTAGAAGCCCTTCCAGGGCCTCTCGGCTATTCCCCGCCCGAAGGCCGGCAGGGGGCGTCATTACAGTTCGCGTCCCCGCCGGCTCTGAGCCTCGGCTTCCTCATCTGCTGTCTCGCTCCTGTCTCTCGTTCCTGGCCCGCAGGGTGACTCTGGAGGCCCCCTAACCTGTTCTGAGCCTGGTCCGCGTCCCAGGGAGGTTCTCTTTGGAGTCACCTCCTGGGGGGATGGCTGCGGGGAGCCAGGAAAGCCCGGGGTCTACACCCGCGTGGCTGTGTTCAAAGACTGGCTCCAGCAGCAGATGAGCGGTGAGTGCCTCCTTTCGCGCGCCGCCTCCTCCGAGGGTCCTGGCAGTTCCGTGTCCTCACCCCGTGTGGTCCCCGGGTCCCTTCCGCCCTGGGGAAGCCTTCCACGGAAGGGCTGCAGGGGACCAGGGCCCCGAACAGGGGGTGAGCTGGCCCCCGGCCCGCCCGCAGCGGCCCCTTCCACGCGCGAGCCCAGCTGCATGGAGCTTCTGGCCCAGGACCCGCCCGAGGAATACCCAGCCGACGCCCGGCTCTGCGCCTTCTACGCGCGCCGATGCCCGCTGCCCGAAGGCGCCTGTGCGCGCCTGGCCCGCCAGCAGTGCCTGCAGCGCCGGCGGCGGTGTGGTGGGTCCC